TTAAGCTTACAAGGTTGGGCTGTACAATGCTGAAGAAAACTGAGCAGCTTCAAGCTTTGATGGCCTCGGAGCTTCTCCATAGTGCTATTAGAACAGATGACTGGCAGGGTTTGTGAGCAGGGAGATAGATGATCAGCGAGGGGGCTGATCAGTCTGAGAATAGGAAAGCTCTTTAAGCCGTATATGGTCTTACACAGAGAGGATGCCCAGAATTTATCATATTGGCAAAATACAAGCTATAAAAGATGGGGAGCAGATGTTACCATAAGAGCAGCCAACACAGATAAATAGCAATTCATTCTGTAACAGATGAAACCGATCACAATTCATAAGAACCTCAGTGATATTCATCCCTGCAGTTACAAGCTGAATATTTCGCAATTAGGCTGCTTACGCCAATCCACTTTCCACTTAACTAGGTCCTACTGAAACTATTTGAATTGAGCTAAATTTTAATTTTTTTTTGCTCTGACCAGCAATTAATTTATAAACATTAGGGACACAGTTCAGGCTTGCCACCACCGTGGTGCAGACAATAGATGTCTCACCCTCCCACCTCTATTCAAACTTGGCTTCTCAATTTTTACATAAATGGCCTCTTTCACACCTCTTTTGAACCAGCGTATGGCACAGCATAGAAGAGCCAAACCCTCTGGTCAGGATTCAGCAGTGTACCTACACCTAAAGGAAAAAGGTCACTCCTTTGAAGACAGTCAAGTTTGCTTCCTAGATAGGGAGGAGGACTGGTTCAAGACCATTCAGCACTGATCCATTGGGTCAACTGGTTTAAATAGAACATTAGATTAGAGAGCAACGTGCCACTCCCTGTGCGCCAATTTCCGCTGTGAGCGCGTATGCACTAGCACATGTTATCCAGCAACCTGGAAGACTGGAACTCGCACATGCACAGTAGCGTGCAAACTTCTGGCTACGGCCTTACAGTGACTATTGTCTATGATATAATATACTCCTATTTCAAAATAAATCTGCCTTGTCTCTACCACTTTTATTGTGGGCTAACCAATCTGCTTACATACTAATTGAGCCAGTGTACAACATTTGTGGCTCTTGTCTCTCAAATAATAAACTCTAATTTCTATTTGGAGATACAACCTGCCTTATTTCTCCCTCCTAGTTTGCAGCCTAATCAAGCTGCTTACATACTGTCCAGCCACTGAACAATATTTGTGGCTATTGACTCTTTGATGATACACTGTAATTTTGCATGCAAGATCACACCCCCTCTTCTCTTGCTCTTATAGTATGGCCTAACCAAGCTGCCTACCTACTGTTCAGCATCTGAGCAATATTTGTGGCTATTGTTTCTTTAATGCACTCTAATTTTACATTCAAGATCAAACCAGCCACTGTGAGAAGAATGGGGAGAAAAATAAGGTATGCAAAGAATAAAAAGCCAGAAAATATCTCTAAGTATCTCTAAACATTTCTAAAAGGTACCTGTGTTGTTATTTTTAAGATAAAGGGTGAAGTTCCTTTTTAAAAGCAGCTAGAGAGGTCAGGGATGACTTGAGCAAAAGCTCTGTTACTGCTTGTTAAGAATATGTAAATAGTTTAATGTTCATAGTTTAGGCACAGGTCCACTTTAAGCATTTATTTAATTAAAAACCAAGAGACTACATTCTCTTAATTCAGTACATACTAGAAATACCTCATATGAATGTAACAGGAACACTTCACAGATACATTTTGATTTAATTTTTGGGTTGTGCATTACTATCAGTATTGCTGATCTTTTTTTAAGCAATCTATTCACTTAAAGTGCAACTGAAGGCAAAACAAAACATTTTGGATAGAGTGGAGATGGATTAGAACATGTCAGGTTTTTACTACTGTCTGCGTTCACCTTTTCAATTTGTATCACTGAAAGTGAAAGAAATTCACGATTTTTGTGTTGTCTTCTGGTGACCCTGCTGATCTCTTCAAAGTAGGGAAATCCCTGGTGGTCAGCACCAGGGATTTCCATTACTTTGGGGGATTCCCTATCACTTCCGCTTGTGGCCATCAGACAGGAAGTGAAGAGGAATCTCCCCAGTGTGACACAGATGGAAAAAAATTAGCTGGTGTTGCACCCTCTATGTAAAATTTGATCATATGGTGTTCCTGATATTATGGATGGTCTTACTTGTAGTCAAAGGTTTCACACCTTTTCTATGTTTTCTTCCTCTATCTAATCTCTGTACTCTTCCTTATTTCTAACTAACCTTAAATATTTTTCACTCTTACGCATTATTCACTTGGTCGTATTCGACTTGCTTGATGTCTTTCGAATACATAGGACTACATTCCTGGACTATAGTATTGTTACCGCATTATCTACTACCCTATTGGGCCTCTTCCCCTTCCCACAGTTCGGACCCCAGGTCTCCACTGCGGGAAAGATACGTTTACTTTATATATTATTGTGACTCCAGGATGTATATGTTCTTATTATATGCCTAATATACGACTTAATGTTTTTACATTGTAACTTGTATTACTCAATAAAAAACATATTGAAACAGAAAAAAAAAAAAATTTGCTGGTGAGGGTTATAATTAGGGATGCACCGATACCGATACTAGTATCGGTATCTGTGCCGATACCGAGTATTTGGGCAAGTACTCGTACTCGCCCAAATGCTCTGATATCTTTCCCGATACTAGAACTTCCGGTCAGAGGGAGATTTCCTATAACTGGCAGTGTCGCGAGGAAATATGGAGCCAGGAAGCCGACTCTATGCGGTTTGGCTGCCTGGATGCTGATTGGCCAGGAAGCCGGCAAACAAATCTGATAATATAGTGACATGACCCCCACCCTGCAGGCACCTAATTCCCCTCACATAAATCCTTAGCATTCTTTAACGTACCAGATCTGTCGTCTCCTGTGTGCACAACGCTCGCGTGATCGGCGCTCAGCCTGCTACTGTGCATGCACAGGATTTCTGAATGAGAGCGATGGGCAGTCTGCGCATGTGCAGTAGCAGGCTGAGCGCCGATCACGTGGGCGCTGAACACACAGGAGACGTGGGCAGATTCGGGAGATGCTGTGTCTGTGCAGCTGGTCCAGGGACTGGTACGTTAAAGAATGCTAAGGATCTATGTGAGAGGAATCAGGTGCCTGCAGGGTGGGGGTCGTGTCACCATATAGTCAGATCTGTTTGGCCAGCCTCGATGCCGATTGGCTGGGAAGCCAGCTTCTTGGGCAATCAGCATCCAGCTGGCCAAACAGAATGGAGTCGGCTTCCCCGGCAATTAATAAGCCTTCCTGGCTTCCTGATTGCCTGGGAAGATGGCTCTATGCTACCGGAAGTACCGGTATTGACGAGCACCGAAATATAAGTATCAGTACTCGTAGTCGATGCCGAAAAACCGGTATCAGTGCATCCCTAATTATAATCCTTCCCTACACTATCCAGAACAAAAAAACAGTTTTGGCTTCAGTTCTACTTTAAGTTGGGTTGCAGGGGCAGCTAACAAAACCCAGCTTAGATTTCCCTTTAAGCACTCACAGACTTTGGCTTTTCCAGAGAAAATTCAGGATGTCCACAGGCCAGCTGGAAGATGGCCCTGGTATCTTCTCCAGCTTGGATGAGCAGGAAACATCCCCACCAGAACGCATTAATAAAGTAATTCATAAATATGCTAAAAGGCATTCACACTGTAAATATGCTCAAAACCACCTCAGCTGTCTTTTAGTTGAGGTAACAGATTGACTTATTGAACTCACTTTGTATACTTAATTGCAGTAACGCATAACAACCACACAGGAACATCCCTGAAGACAGATCAGTACAAGATAGAAACTGATTGGTTGCTACTGTTGCTGGAAAAAAAAGTAGCATTTAAGATTGGAAATTCTTTGTCGAATAAAACTGGACCAATATTCCAGATTTTACAAACAATCAAACATAGAAAATCTAATACAAAACTTTCCTAGAAAAATGGATATCAAAGGAACAGAGGCTTTCCTGATAACCAAAGTTTGCAGGTACAGAGACTCTTATTCAAGACTTTCGAGGCAACCACATTTTCTTCAAAGTAACAGAGAAGATTTTCCTGATGACCAAACTTAGTTTGAAGGAACGGAGACTCAAATCCAAGACTTTCCTGATAATTAAACTTTATTAAACCAATGAGCCTGGTAAGAAAGCACATTTTTCTTTACAAAAGTTAAGACATATCTCAGTTCTAGTGACCAATGTGCCACGCTAAATTAATAACACTATTAGAAAATAATGTAACATATAACATTGTTGGATATTTTTTAGTGCCCGCAGCTGACTATACATATTGGCAACAGATTAATTTGATAGATTTCTCAGTTCTACATATTGACTCCAAACTTTCCAGCTTTATAATCCTAATCCATCTAGATCACTGCAGCTTTATACTCGGGAGGCAAAATTCCATCACAACCAGACAAGTGATCAATCTAATTTACATGCACAAATATAAAAATCATGGATCTGCTGTTATGATCTGATATACATGAAACGTTTGATATAATGCACTGGGAATATAAATAATGAGTACTGCTTAAGCTGGGTTTCAGAGATGAGTATCTGTCAGATAGAAAATCCAATTTCTGCAATGATATCTGATCAATGAATCCTTCAACAATAACAGAATTATCCAAAGAAATCCATTTATCAACAGGCTTGAGCAGCACATAAAAAAGCACAATGTAAAGAAACTTCATCTGCTTAAAACTTATTTTAGACCCCTGTTTGGGGACACTCCTTTTCTATTTGAAGAATGGCAGACAGACTAGGGAGTAATCATCATAAGGAACACTAGAACTTCTATTCTGCTGTTGCCGGAAACTTCCCTTTGCAAATTTCTCCTAAATTCCTTTCTGGTTGATGGGTGTTCAGGCAGAACGGCACAGTGAGGTACAATCTCATAAATGTCGACAAGGACAGCATTAAAAACAAACAAAAAAATTGTCCTGACTTGGCCTTTCATTTTAACCAATGCTCCATTATATTTTAGATATTTTACCTGGGTCACCAGGGGTTCCAGAAGCCCCTCCACAGTAAGAGTTCGGATTTCCAAACATTTAGGGTCCCATTTTAGAATGATCGGTGATGTTGCTGATGTCATTTTTCTGAAACACAAATATATGTTACAAAGTTAGTAAAAACACATACAAACATGACATAACCAAAGAAATATCTAGTAACTGAGTTAAAACTCAATTACATAGTATCTATGATTTGCCTCCATACCGAACATTGGTTTACAGCCCCTTGGATGTTTTAGACACCAGAAGGCCCTGGACCAGGTACAGGTCCAGGGATCAGAGGGGGAAATATATTTAACTCTAGCATGTAAAGACCAATAGATATGTTATGTTAATAGACAGAACAGAAAAAAGTCCTAAGCTTCAATACTCTATCACTAACCCACAGCAAGCATGCATATCATATAATGTACTGTATGTATAATGTAATGTATGTATATAAAAGTCAAAATTCCTGATTATTATATTCATTCTTGGTCAGCGTTTTAAAATACATAGGTAAGAATATTAGTATAATAACCCTGCAACTAGTATTTTCAGAAGTTGTCAGGAATGGTAATCTCCATGTATTTCCTCATAGCATGTTTTTTTCAACAGTTTATCTTGCAGCTTGAAATGTATAAACCATCTTAAGCTTAACTCTAGACAAATAATGTTTAGTTTTAATTTTGGATAGTGTGGGGGCACCCATAAAATAACCAGTGCAAGCAGTTGTCTGAAGAGAAATACAGCTATATAAACATTTTCAGACATTCTAACCGATCTGCGCTCTTAAAACTTTGTTTTTTTGCTTCTGTCTATGTAACAATTGGTACCCATTGGAGACATTTCCCATAATTTTCTGTCCTGCCAGAAATTTAGCACAACTTTTCCCAGTGTTCCCTTCCCACTGATGTTTGGCGTTAACAACATAATTCACTTCCATCATTTCCTTTTAAGAGGTCATAAACATCAGCAATAGTTGCAAAACACTGCTGTGCTTTACTGTGCTGTGCGCCTAGAAGGCCATTGTAGGCAGAGAAAGAACTTTAATTTAACTTTTACTTATATTACAAATAAGTGTGAGAACTGTAGTTATGGGGCTTAAGAAAAACAAAAGTTTGCTGGGGAAGGGGGGACAGAGTGAGGCATTATGACTGGAGGGTGGGGGGAATAGAAGTAGGGGTGGTGCTGTCCCAAGGTGGGGGTGAGGTGTATGGTAGAAAGGCAGTGTATTGAAGAAAGGGGAAGATGGGTAGGATGGTGGTGCTCTTACCAGGGAGGTGAGGGGAGTTGGTTGGGAGCTGCTCTTACAAGGACTGCTAAAGTGTAGGGATAGGGATTCTTTGCTTTTGCACCCCTATAGTTGCTGAAACTGGTAACACTGTGATAGTTTCTGCAATCTGCATGAATGGAGATGTGCTGACACAATCACAGAGTTTTCAAAACGCCTCCGTTCAGGGATCATGCAAGCAGTAGCACAGTGTTACAAGCTCCAGCAACTAAACAGATAGGCACCTGTTACCTCCTACCTTGCACTTCAGCAGCACAGAGCATGGAAGGATATCACTGCACACATCAGGCAGCACTCTGAGGAACAAGGGCATACTTTGAGGGTGGTACCTTTCCAGGATGACTGAATTCAGAGTTCAGAGGCAGGGGAGGGTGGCAGCTTTCCTGGAATTGGACTCAGTGTGGCGTGAGGAGTGGCAGTGTTGGATAAGAGTGAGAAACAAGGGACAGCAATATCAGATCAGGGGTGAAGCAGTGTCAGGTCAGGGGTGACAGTAGTGTTGTATTGGAGTGTGGAGCCTGGAATAGCAGAGTTGTATTGGTGGGTGAGGAGCAGTGGGGGGTTGGGTATGAGTAGCAGGGTACAGCAGTGTGGGGTCGGGAATGAGGAGCAGGATACAGCAGTGTTGGATCATGGATGAGGAACAGGAGACAGCACTGTCGAATTGAGGGTGAGTAGAAGAAGACAGCAATATCTATCAAGGGGGAGGAGCAGGGGAAAGCAGCATTGGATCAGGGGTGAAAAATCAGTGGTGCTACGGAAGGACACTGCAACTTTGCCCATAGCCCTAATCACTGGACACAGCCAGAGACACAGCCATCATGGTACATCTAACTAAAAAGTGGGACTGTCCCGGCATATCTGGAACTATTGGTAAGTATGAATGAAGAGAAGTGTATATGGTCAATATCATCTTACGGACAAGTTTATAACCTGTGTACCAATAGTGTACCAATTTTAGAAAAAGTCCCAAGTGCCACTTCTCACACAAAAATGTCCACAATCTGCTCTAAAATAAATAATAGTTCAGAAAATGAGTTTGTCAATATTTTGCGGGATAGGGATGTGCATTAGTGCGCCAAAAGAATGATGATACAAGTCAGTTACATATTCTGATATGCTATACTAAGCTCATTGGAACCTGTGTAGGGTTGTAGCCTAACAAAGGAACGGGCAGGGCGTATGTGATGCACCACTGTGATAGTCTGTGGCTACCTGATGTGGGGAAGCTCGGCTCCCTCTTATATAGAACTGCAGAATTGTAAATGCTAACAATGAGGTGACTGATTGTTTTGACCTAGCAAGAGTTAGGAAGGTCTCCTGAGAAGACAAGGGCTCGATTTGAAGAATTTAGCTGTCTGGGTGAGGTCAGCATGCTACTTTATAACAAAGCCAAGCTGACACCGCCTGGTGCGAGCTCTTCAGCGCAGGAGAATTGTGTGAAACACAAACAGGCATTTTAGAAACCATAGTCAATTCTATTTTTTTACTCTTCCCCTGTTCAGACCAAACTGTTAAAGAAATGAAACAATGTATTTGTCATGAAGCAAAACACCTGTGTGATATGTCTCAGATTTAAGCTGTCATTCTGCATCTCCTGGGTCTAGTACTAGCTGCACTAGGTGCAAGGCACCATTATTATGGGCTTGTTCCATAAAAAGACCCTGTCATCAACTTACAGGGACTGATTTAAATTATTTTTAAATAATAAGTGTTTATTAAGGGTTTTAACACAATTAACATGAAAGACATGTAAACATGGAGATCAATGTAATACAGAGTCACGTAAATACACTCCATCGTGAGAGATAGGCATATGCATGCATATCGATACATTCAGCTCCTAAAACACGGGGATACACAGATTGAATCAAGTATTGTATGGTAGGTGTCATATTTCAGTAACAGCTATGTATGACTCGGTCAGGAGCCCTTTAAGACTGGGTAACATGATCGCATTGTCTCCCATCCAACCAGACAACATTAAGAGAAGAGGACAAGGAACGAAGCACATAAAAATCACAGGACGAAGGGGACAAAACATTTTGGTGGGGGGGGGGGGGCTTGCCAGATAGAGAGGCAAGCCGGGGTGGGAAACATTTAGGGAAAGACGTCTAGTGGGGAGGGCAGAGGGGGAGGAGAGGAGGGGTTTCCGCCGGACCCAATGACTCATTCATCTCTTGGTATGGCGTACTGAGACATAATATATGCAATGCACTAGTCAATAGTCCATCAGGGGGCCACTGGTCATATTACAGGGCTCTAAATGCTGCTGAGTCCATATATAAAATCCAAGGGGTCCACAAGGTTGCACATTGAGATTGACGCTCATGTAGAGAGGCCGTCAGCTCTTCAAAGCGCATGATCAAACCCACTTCGGCAATCCACTCCTGCAAGGTTGGGGCGACCACCGTATTCCAATGGCGTGGTATCACGTTCCGGGCCGCAGCCAGGAAGAAGCGGAGTAGATCCTTCTTAACGGAGGCTATGGAGCCAGGTAGAACAGAGAGGAGAGCAATCTTAGGTGAGGCTGCTAGGTTCGTCCCCATGACCTGGTTATAAACATGGAAGACCTTGTCCCAAAATGGTAGCAGGAGCGAGCATTCCCACCAAATATGCAGGAGGGTCCCTTCCGAAGCCAGGCATCGCCAACATAGCGAGGGCCTGTCAGGGAATATTCTATGTAGGAGAGTTGGGCTGCGGTACCACCGGGTTAAAATTTTATAGCCTTTTTCTTGAGCCGAGCAGGCCACCGTAAGCTTATGAGTAGTAATGCAGGCAGTTCGAATCTCCTCCTCCGTAAGGGTAATCCCCAAGTCCTCCTCCCATCTGGTTATGAACGGTAAATGTCCCTGAAAGCGCATCGGGAGCAACTGACAGTAGAGGAGAGACATAACATGTGTAGGCGGGTCATCCAGGCAACATAGAGACTCAAACCAGGAAGGAGGGCGATGTAGGGCGGCCAGGTCCCCCAGCGCGGTATAGTACGCACGTAATTGGAAATATGATAGCCAAGCTCCGGGCGTGTGGGGACGGTCCGCAAGTAGGGTGACCAGGGGTTTCAGGGTCGCTCCCACGAGGGCCTCGGCCAAGGGTGAAGGCTCTGTGGCTGACCAAGAGAGGAAACTAGATGAGGTGCAGCCGGGTGGAAACGCCGGATTGCCCATAATGGGAGTCATGGGGCCCACATAGGAGGACAGGGCCGATGTCTTGAGAAGTAGATCCCATGCTTTTAGAAGCGGAGGAAGAGCAAAAGGGAGAGTCGATGAATGAGGGCGATGAGACGGGGCAATCCATGGTACTGAGAAAGGAAGCACCGGTGAGACTAATGACTCCAGGGAAACCCAAAGTTTGTGTGCTCTGCGGTGTTTCCGGTCAAGAATCTGGGCAAGGAGCGTCGCGTAGTAGTAGGTCTTCAGGTCGGGAAGGGCCAAGCCCCCTGATTCCTTGGGTCGGGTCATGATGTGATATGCCAGACGCGGGCACTTACCAGCCCAGATGAAGCGGAGCAACGCAGAGCGCATTTGCCGGAAGAAAGTAGCTGGCAGGACAAGGGGGAGAGTTTGGAAGAGGTACAAAAATCGGGGTAAAATATCCATTTTAAAGAGGGCAGTCCACTGGGTCTTTGAAGTGAGTCTCCTGTAGGAAGAGGACCTATGCATAGAGTAGGCCAGTTGTGTGCACATTCAGGGAGACAAAGGTTATTGGCAACATTGGGCAGTGAGCCACTCTACAGTCAACCACAAATTGCGATCCGGGGAAGCACCAGGCAGGGGAAGGGGGGAGACGGCAGACAGAGAGACAAGAGACA